GGAGAGAGAGAGAGAGAGAGAGAGAGAACCTGCATTATGGTCGTGTGTAGCGTTAGTGTCTCCAGCCAAGTCAAGCACCCGGAAATTCCAAACAAATAAGTGGACAGCTTGCTAGGCCATAGTGCCCCAAGGGTTAGGTCAACGATAGAGGAAATATTTTCCAGGGTCACAGCAATTTCGGACGCGTCCAATGTGAAGGAGACTAGATCAGGCGAGCAAATCTCGAGCCTCCTCAAGTCCAGGCAACCAATTATCTCCAGCCGCCTCAGCCGATTAGGGCAACAGCTGGCCTTCAAACTTTTCAAAGAATCTGCATCTTCCACATGTAGTTCTTCGAGTAATGGGCAGTTAGTTAAGAAAAACTCAAGAGTTTCTCCATCAATTGCCACTTTATGCAGGACTAGCGAGACCAAAGACTCACACGCCTGTAGACCCTGCTTTGGAAAAGTGTATTGACCGCGTCTAAAATAACCGGGCTGCACGAACTCTAATGCTAGCCTTTTAACCCTCTTAGCAAATGCAAATTTGATCCATCTATCGATATCATGGGCAGAACTCTGATCCAAATCGAAGGATGTCCGGAACTTTTCTATGGACTCACCAGAATGCAGGCTCAGAAATTGATTCACCCGCTCAACGTATCTTACCCTTTCACTTACAAGGGACCTTCTATTATTCTTGAACTCACCAACTAATAGTGAAGCATCAAAGTCAAGCATCGTATTAGAAAGCCAGAAGAATCGCCATTTTCGGGCGAGGACACTAGTCCGTGTCGCTTCTTTCAAAGGTAAAAGTGACACTATGGAGGTTATCAGCTCGTCTGGTAGTCTATCAATTGAATATCGTAAGCACTATACAAAGATGAAGACCAGAACTAGTTAAGATCATGTGAACCAAACAAACAAGATCGAATAGACAATCGCATCAATAGTTCAACACTGAAAACCTTCCAAATGAAATATTTTTCTGAAAGCAGCATATCACAAGTCAAACTTTCATATTGCTCCGTTAAGCACAAGCAGAAACAAATCAATTTGTGAGTTGAGAATATTCCATAGAGAATAAATCAACTTTCAGAATAGCAGAGAGAATCTAAAAAATCATCAGACAGAGACTGTTTACCTTGGTACGCGACTCCATGTGAGTGAGGTCAATCAATGGTTTTGCTTTGGGTAATTGGGGGAAGGCGATTCTGCAGATGGATTTATATGTTGTCTCGTTGATTGAAGTTTTTTTTTTTTTTTTTTTTTTTTTTTTTTTTGGTACAATCGTTGATTGAAGTTTTTAAACACACCTAATACAACAAGAACTAAGAGCATGATTGGATACAAAAATTTCTCAAAAAATCCAAACATTTTTAACTTAACCATTTTTTTAACTCAACTTTCACTCAACATCACTATCATCAATATTATCAATATAATTAAATAATATCAATCAATCATTCTTACACACAACATCAACCTTAATTCACTATTCATCTACTCACATAAATTTAACTAACTATCACATCACATTTTCTCTCTCTTACTTTTACATCAATTTAATTTTAATTATTTTATTTTAAATATTATTTTATTATATCCACTAACAACTAACCATACCTACTTTTTCAAATTTAACCCACCCAAATCAAAACAAAAACAAATTTATATCCAAGCATGCTCTAAGAAATCACCCTTCCAATGGTGGTTTACAAATTTACCCCTTCTAACTTCTAAGCAACTTTTTTTTTTTTTTTTTTAAAAAAAAAAAGAGTCTTTTAGCAACATTGCTATTTTATGTAGAGAATATGTGGCTAATAGCTTATAGCTTATGCCTTATACTTGAAAAGCTTGGTAAAATATTTGGTAAAAATAGTTTATAAGTTAGTTAAAAAAATACAACTGCATAAAATTTAAAACTACATAGTTAGCTTAATAATATTTATGACAAATTTATTAATATGATTATTATTATTATTTCCATTGAGCACTAAAAATAAACAAGAAACACACAATTTTCAATAAAAATAACACTAATTAATAATAGCTTATAAGCTAGTTAAAAAATACATTTATTTAAATTAAAAGTACACTGTAGCTTAATATTATTTATGACAAATTTATTAATATGCTTATTATTATTTCCACTAATTAAAGATAAAAAAACAAACACACATTTTTCACATTGGACGCGTCCGAAATTACTGCAGTCGTGTTTGACACCCGGGGCACCGAGTGTGGAGGCAATGAAGCGCCATCATATTTTTGAATCGACGTGTGCCATCGGTGACAAGGTTTGTCGATTTATCATTGACACGGGCTTGTGTGAGAACGTTGTGGCACAAGAGGCAGTTGATAAACTGCGACTCTCGAGTGAGCCTCATCTACAGGGATATACTTTGGCTTGGATCTAGCGGGGAAATGCGATTACAGTTGACAGACGTGCTCTAGTCTCTTTGACCATTGGAGCGACGTATTGAGATCAGGTGTGGTGTGATGTTGTTCCTATGGATGCTTGCCAATTATTACTGGGCAAACCTTGGCAATACGAAAGAGCGGGCCACTCACGATGACAGACTTAATGCCTACAGCTTCGTCTTTGGGGGTATTAAGGTGATTTTGCATTCTGCTCCTTCACGACCTACGTTGGCTCCGGGATCTTTGACAGTTCTTTTTCTATCACGGGCCGCTTTTGTAGAAGAGATGTGATCTGCTCTGCTAGTTCATTTTCTTGTGGGTTCGGACACCGAGGGCGACCGCGAACCACTTACCCCTATTCAACCATTATTGTCAGAGTTTGTCGATGTTTTCCCCAAAGAGCTTCCCTCTGGGTTGCCACCTCTACGAAATATTCAACATCAGATTGACTTGGTACTTGGGGCCTCTCTTCCGAACAGACCGTATTATCGGATGAGCCCGATGGAAAACGAGGAGTTGCGACGGCAGATAAAGGAGCTGGTACAGCGCGGGGTGGTACAACGAAGCCTTAGTCCGTGTGCGGTTCCAGCCTTATTGATCTTGAAGAAAGACGGCGCGTGGCACATGTGTGTGGACAGTCGAGCGGTCAACAAGATCACAGTCAGGTATCGTTTCCCTATTCCACGACTAGATGATTTATTGGATCAATTGCATGGGGCCACTGTCTTTACCAAATTGGATCTCCGTAGCGGTTATCACCAGATTCGAATTAGGCCAGAGGATGAGTGGTTAGTGATACTGTTTGGGTTATCAAATGCGCCTAGCACGTTTATGCGCATCATGAATCAGACTCTACGAGACCTTATCGGTAGGTGTGTCATCGTTTATTTTGACGACATCCTTATCTACAGCCGCACGGTGGAGGATCATTTGAAGCATGTGCGATCGGTGTTGCTCATTCTGCGGGCAGAGTCCTTTCTCGCAGCACCATAGAAGTGCTTTTTCATGGTGGAGTCAGTCCTCTTTTTGGGATTTGTGATCTCGGCAGCAGGAATCCGGGTGGACGAGAGAAAAGTGGCGGCCATTCGTGATTGGCCGACACCGACTTCCTTCACCGAGGCGCGCAGTTTTCATGGTTAGCTTCGTTCTATGGGTGTCTCATTTCACACTTTAGTTTGCTGATGGAACCAATTATGGATTGTCTCACTGGTAAGACTTTGTTTGGACATCGGCAGCCGAAGATGCTTTTTCTCTTATCAAGAGCAAGTTGACATCGGCTCCAGTGCTCGTCTTAACGGATTTTTCGCGCCCGTTTGAGATCTCGAGCGACGCTTCGAAGGTAGGGATCAGGGCTGTACTTAGCCAGGACAGGCGTTTGGTCTCAGTTTTTAGCGAGAAGTTATCGGTCCCGAGGCTACGTTACAGTACGTATGATGTTGAGTTCTACGCAGTGGTGCGGGCGGTTCGACATTGGCACAATTATCTGTTTCACAGGGAGTTCATTCTCTACACCGACCATGAGGCCTTACGCCACCTTGCTTCTCAAGATGATATTTCGTCGAGACATGTATCGTAGAAGACATTCCTACAGCGATTCACTTTCGTTCTGAGGCACCGTTTGGGTGTTTCGAACAAAGTGGCAGATGCCTTGAGTAGACGAGCACTCTTATTATCAGAAATGCACGTGGCGGTTGTCGGTTTTGAGACCCTTTATGATGTTTACCCAGGAGATCCTTTATTCGGCCCCATTTTTGGGCGTTTACGGGATGGTCCTTATGAGGACTACACGTTGTCTCATGGGTTTCTGATTCGTGGGGTTCGTTTGTGTGTGTCAGATTGCAGCCTACGGCAGAAGCTCATTGTCGATCTGCATGGGACCGGACACGTGGGCCGCGATCGGTCTGTTGAGCTGGTTAGTCGCTCTTACTTTTGGTCCTCCCTTAGATGTGATGTGGGGAGGTTTGTTGCTCGCTGTCGTATTTGCTAGGTATCGAAGAGGGTCGCGACTAATGCGGGACTATATCGGCCCCTGCCGATTCATTCTTAGCCTTGGCAGGCGATTAGTATGGACTTTGTGTTGGGTTTGTCTCGTACACAACGGGGCTTTGATTCTATTTTCGTGGTCGTGGATTGTTTTTCGAAGCTGGTGCACTTTATTCCATGCAAACGCACTACTGATGTCGTCCACGTGGCTCAGTTGTTCTTCCGAGAGGTCTACTGCCTACATGGTTTGCCTTCTGTTATTTTGTCCGACCATGATACTCGCTTTCTCAGTTACTTTTGGAAAAGTTTATGGCGTATGGTTGACACACGTCTCAACTTCAGCAGTGCCTACCACCCGCAGACGGATGGCCAGACGGAGGTAGTCAATCGATCGTTGGGGAATCTGCTTCATTGTTTCGTGGGAGATACCATCCGAAGTTGGGACCATCATTTGTGTCAGGTAGAGTTCTCACATAACTCAGAACTTAGTCGGGCTACGGGCTTCACTCCCTTTTAGATCGTGTATGTTGTGCAGCCTCGGGGTCCGTGTGATATGGGGGGCGTTACCCTTGTTCGATGGTGTTGAAAAACAAGTCTCGGACCTCGTCGCCAACTTGAAGAAGACGCATGCCGCGGCTCGGGCATGGCTGGAGTTGACTACGACCTCTTATAAGAGGCAAGCTGATACTCATCGTCGCCATGTGGAGTTCGAGGTAGGTGATTTTGTGTGGGCTGTTTTGACGAAAGACAGGTTTTCTGCTCATGAATATAATAAATTATCTGCTCGAAAAATTGGTCTGGTAGAGGTTGTGGAGAAGATTAATCCCAACGCTTATCGTCTCCGCCTTCCATCTCACATTCGCATATCTGGCGTTTTTAACGACAAGCATTTGGTACTTTTCGAGGGGGACAATTTGGACGAAGACGAGACCAGTTCGGATTGGTGGGCGAATCTTTTCCAACAGGGGGAGGGTGATGGAGACGAGACTGCAATAACATTTTTAACTGAATACGACCATTTTCGGGTCTAGTTATTTATTTTATCATTATTAGTAGTCTTTTATTTTTGCATCTTATAATGGTTATTAGATTTTTAATTAATTAGTAGGCTTTCATTTTTAAGTAATAGATGAGCATGGGACTCTCTTTTCCTTTATCTATTCTCATCTGTGTAGTGGAGAGCAGATTATTAAGAAATTGAAATAAAACCTGTTCGACGTTTGTTGTGTTCTTCCTATTGGTATTTTATACTTAAGCTTTGCTTTAGTGGATATTACACTTGTTATTTCTTGATGGATGAGAATTATGTTTGGTTAAATAAGTTCCACGTTATGTTGTTTTGCATGTAGATAAGTGGGTCGTCATCGGGCGTACCGAAGATCACTATATCAGTTACTTGCGAAACAAGAATCATTGGTTCACAACCTAGATGGAATTGAACAACCCATCGGAACGGTTGTAGTGTCAACCGTACGGTTTGTCTTGACCGATTAGTTGCACTAGTACATTTATGTATTGAACAGGATCCCAGAGAGGGATGTTCGTTTTATACTGATCGTCATAAACGAACTAGGCCTCATTTAATTATTGCGTGCTCTTAACCCGTAAGATATTAAATAGGCATGTGCACATAATTGTTGTTGCTTTGATTCTTTGGGTGAGATCCAAGCCGGGTCGACATACTTAATGAATTGAGTAATGACAATATGTGTTCGATGTGCTATTAGGATATTTACGGTCACCATGTGCGTTAGT